TGCAGTGGCTGCCGATAGCTTCATAGTGCTGCGCTGTAACCTGTTGTGCCACCAGGGAGGCCCTAAAAGATTTATTTCTGCACACAAGACTGGATACAGGCCAAAGCGGGGAGGTGAGAGGACACCCCAGAGACTGGGGAGCAGAGCAGGTTGATCCATGGAGAGACACACCGCCGAGGAGGCAGCCAGGGGACAGGAGTGTTCTGCTGCATCCTGGGGTTACTCGCTGTCCAGGATGGACTCCGGCCTCAGCGGCTGGACAGACCGATGGCGGGCTTAGGGTTAGGGTTATTGCCCCTGCGCTGGAGAGGCCCTTGGCACGGGGTGCGTCTGTTGAAGGCCGGAGATGTTGCAGGCCATGTTGTGGGCCGCGATCCTGCTCCCCGCCTCACCATCTTTGCGCTGGACAGAAATACACCCGTGGTGGCTGTGCTGGGTCTTAGGGTCAATTTCACATTCTATTTCAGAAACTACTTTTCACCAATACAATTTGTTTAAAAATATTTATTGGCCACACGACATTCAGACACAAGACAGCTGATTTACCTATTACTGTTGTAGAAACCTTAGGACTTTTCCTAAATTCCTCCACTATAAAATAGCTAGGTACTTTCCTTGGTACAGAATACTTGGGGTGGGGATCCTACCGTTAGAGTTGCTACTTTGGGGGGGGGGGGTGAGTTCCCAGGTGGAAAGTTGAAACTGGAAAATGTCCAGGGTCAGAAAGCTGTGGGTGTAGTGGACAAGGCTCCCTCTAAGTTAGACGCGTCACCAGCCTAGAGCAACGCTGAGGTGCTTTAGTCCAGGGACAGTGGGTGGGAGCTGAGGGTGGGGCTGGGCTCCCCTCCCTGAAGCTCAGCCCAGTGTTCAGTGTGAGGGCCCCTCTCGCCCAAAGGCTGGGGCCCTACACCCTCTTGCTGCCGCGGCAGAAAGCCAGCAATCGAGAGCAGGGCACATCCCCAAGCCGCGCTACCATGCTGGCGGGTCTGTCACGCGGGCCAACCTGCGTGGCCACCTGGTCATCGCGGCCCAGGTACGTCCTGTCCTGCCGGTGTCGCTGTCTGACAACTTCGGGCGGTGTCCCTGGGCACGAGTCTCAGCTCAAAACGAGCTTCAGTCCAAAGACAGTCGACCGGCCCACTGGCCACAGTGGGGCAGGCTCCCTGCCCTCGTGCCGGCCCCAGCAAAGGCGCTGGTCAGCGTCAGGGCCTGCGCGTGGGGCTGGACTGGCTTCCAGGGCTGTGCCCAGGGCGCTCATGACCACACAGCTGTCATCGCGAGCCACGACTCTGCAGGTGCTTGGGGCCGGGGTGCAGACGGGCCGGCAGGTGGGGGGCGGCAGATGTGCGGGGACAGGGGCAGGCAGGGGGC